ATTGCTTTGAGTAAGTTGTATGACAACATGGTTAAATAGGTTTGTGATTCAAGTACACCTACAGAGCATGAAGTAATAATGGATTAATGCTAGCCTGTAGAGAAATCTGTACTGACACATCATGAGGCTTTTTCCTCAGGCCCATTCTATGTAATATTTTTGTTTAATGACTAGATGACAATATTTATGTTATTCTGATAAAGTATGTGAATGACAGAAACTGGAGAAGTTAGAGATCCTGATATACTGGTTGATCAAATCAGAATCCAAAAGTAGCTTAATCATCTAGAAGAAGGTTTGTCAAACTACAACCTGTGGGCCATATCCATCCTGCAGCCTGCTTTTGTACAGCTCTCAAGATGTGAATGGTTTTTGTATTTTTTAAGCAGTGTAAAAAAAATTAAAAAGAAAAGAAAAAGAAGGAAGAATATGCCATAAAGATTGTATGTGGCTCACAAAGCCTAAAATATTTACTGTTTAGCCCTTTACAAAAAAAGTTTGCTGACTAGTCTAGAAAAATAAGCAGAATTAGCAAGATAAAAATAGATAAATTGAAAATCCTGGAGTTTATTCCATAACAAACAAAACAATTCTCAGCACAAATGCAGGGTTATGAGAGATAAGACTTAGCAGCATGTGTGAAAAAGACTTGCATTGGAATTGATATGTTCAAATTGAGTTAATTGTGAGAGGTGATTGTTAGAAGTTGATATGGTTTAAGCAATATTCATTTATAGAAATAGAGAATTCAGAAAAATGGAGACAGTAGTTCCTATTTTTTTCTTTAATGGCCAGATTACACCTGAACTGTTAGTTTTAGAGGGGTGACAACAAAGTGGAGTATTTCCAGAGAATCTGGCACAATTCGTTGACAAAGGAGAAGACAGAAGAAAGATAATACAGTAGCCTTCAAATATTTTCACAACTGCCCAAAAAAAAGAATAGACACATTTTGCAGAACTAGGACAAGGATTGTTGTATAGAAAATTCTGGGAGGCAGAATTTTCTCCTTTTTATTTCTGAGGCAGTATTTTGTGAATGCAGGCACTATTCTCACAGTTCTGAAATGGGCACGATGTCAAGTTTTCACCTCAAACCCACATTTAGTTGGCTTAATATGAACTTATTTACAGTTTGCTCCCCCCAAAATGGAATAGCCTATCTGAGACGGAAGTGAGTTTCCTGTTGGAGTAGCCATTTCTAACGCTCACCAATAGGTTCTGGTTCTCTTCCTCTTTTTTGACAAGTGGAAAGATATTTCCCTTCCTCTTGAAGTTAGGTGTGGTCATGCAACTTGCTTTGGCCGATGAAATGTGAACAGAAGTAATGTGTGTAATTTTCAAGCAGAAGTATCTAAAAGGCGAAGTGTGATTTTCCATGCTTTTCTCTCATGTGGTGGTCGTTGTCGAAGCATGTATTGAGTTGAAGACGCCATCAGATCACAGCACCCAGGAATACTTAGCCACTACATGGAGAACAGTTGCAACGTTCTTTGCATGATCAAGAAATAAACTTTTCTTATTGTAAGCCAGTATAAGTTTTGAAGTTGTAATGGCAGTATAACCTAGCTCCCCTCTCCCTCCTAGTATTTAACAGCTAATATCCCTGGGCCAGTAGAAATCAGGTGACATGGCTTCTAATCTTTACTCTGACATTAACTATGATCAGTTTTCTCTGTAAAAAAAGATTGTTTGAATGAAAAATATGGACCATCTTTTCCAGACAAAAACTCTATGATTTTAAAGTCTGTTTTAATATTTGATGTAGTCAAGGAAAACAATGTCTTTTATAACTATCTATTCTGAAGTATATGGGTAAAACCCCACATTGCCATTTATTTTTTTAAATTCCACATAATAAATTGTTGCCTATATTAGTATTATAAATAACTACTGTCATTTATTTTGGAGCCGAACTTCTTCTCATATAATATATGGATTGTTTTACAGCCTTAATAATCTGCTAACAGTATAATCTAAGTTATCAAATACCTATTAAATCTTTGCACTTCTTAATTAATTTGGAATCGTTTCTATATTGGGTCTTCGTGACAAACTGAAATAAGGAAAAAAGTAGATTTTTTTTTGGTCCCAGATAGATTCCTTTCTTTTGCTACATAAAGGATATGGCTTTTTTCCCAGAAATTGGACTATTATCATGAAGATGCCAGAATTTTGTAGTTTTTCCTCTTACCAACAGATTTATAGCTTATCTTTACAATTAGAGGTTTATTTTTGATTCTAAGTTTAGTTACTCTGTAACCATTTGGGCTGAAATATAGTCATCAGATGTATAAACTTTTTAAAACACTCAATATTTGAATTGATTTGGTGTATATCCAGTTTTCCTAGGTTTAGCTTTCCTTTTAAAGTCCAACTTTAAATAGCCTTTAATATAACCTCAAATTCTTTTTGAAAATCTGATGAAATCATCTCTTAAGTATGTGTAGTACGTGAGCCATACAGTTTCCAGTACTGTTTGAAATTGGCTCTTTGAATAACCAATCTGTTTCTAGTTCACATTTTATAGATGAGTCAACAATTGAACATCAATATATTTTGCTCTGTTAAAGTTTGTTCTGAAATAGGTTATACTTAATAGATAGCAAATCAGTATTTACTGAACAAAAGAGTTTAATATAATTATTAATCCAGCTATTTTGTGAAGCTAGGAATCAAAGTTCTGAATTTCTTATTTAGTTTATTTCTCCTCATTACCTCTATTCAGTCTTTAAACATTAAAAATAACTATTTTCCGTATCGTAAAAGACAGTTCACCAAGAATCACATTAAATTTCCATTCGCTTTAAAACAACTAAATCATATGGCAGATTACTACTGAATTTTAACCTCTCCTTTTTCATCTCTCTAAAATCAGTAAAATACATTTAAATATATCTTTATTATAAAAAATACTACAAATTCCATTTCTCACAAGATGTGGCTTCTGGTCCTGATCCTGGCTTTATCACTAGCTGTATGACCTTGTATAATTTACTAAACTTCTCAGAGCATTCATTTCTTCATTTCTAAAATTAGAGTCTTCCAGTGGATGCATTTCTAGTTTCCTTTTTAACTCGGTGATAGTTTCTCTTTGTGTATTTTTTATATGCTTTTTAAATCTAGGTCTTTTCTTTGTTTTCAGAAGCATTTATAATGCTTCTAGACATACACTTTCATGGCCTCTTTGATCTTCCTTAATTCCAGTATAACATATATACTGGTCAGGATAGGCTAGATTATGTCACAGGAACAACTTCTCTAACCTCAGTGGATTAAAGCAACCAAGTTTATTTCATGCTCATACTGCCTGTCTGTTCATAGTGTGGTCTGGGAACTTTGCTCTGTGTTGTCCTCATTCCAGGACCAAGGCCTTCAAAGTACCCACCATCTGGAGCTTTGCAGATTCTGAAGCAGAGGTGAGAGGGAGAATAGCTATATCATACCTTGTCTTCGAAACCTTCCACTGGAAGTAAACACACATGTCATTTTGTTCATATGACATTGGCCAAAGCAAGTCCCATGACCACACCTAATCAAGGGGCAGGAAGTGCTGTCTCACAATGCAGCCGGGAGGTGGGAAGACAGAAATATTTGGTGAACAGCTCTTATGACTGTACGTCATTTTTTAAGTCAAATGTTGACTTCTGGTAGGAATGTAAATTAGCACTACATTTATGGAGAGCAATTAGCAAACATACCAAAAGCCCTAGAAATATGTCTTCCGTTTGGTTTAGCAGTTCCAGTTTTAAGAAATTATTGAACATATATATAATGATGTATATTCAATAATTCAGTCTTTAAATATATATTTATTGAGTATCTACTATGTGCCAGGAGCTGACATGGTCCGTACCTTCATGGAGCTATTTGGGGCAGGAGTGGGGAGAGACAGTACCAGAGATAATTAAAATGAAACAGGTTAAGTGCTATGATGAGGAAGTCTGGGGTGCTATGAAAGCATATAGGAAAATTTCTTCTGACCTATTTTCCAGTTGACTGATTCTCTCTTCAGCTGTGTAAAATCTGCTCTTCAACCCCCACCCATTGAATTTTTAATTTAAGTTTTTGTAATTTTTCATTTCTGAAAGAGTACTCCTTCAAATGTGCTAAATTATTTGTTATAGTTTCCTATCACTGAAGATATTTTCAAGCTGGTCATTTATGAAGAAATTGTTTTCTCAAATTGTGACATCATTTTGAATGCCTACCAATCTTTTGATAATAAAAATTGAAAGTTACATGGTTATAATTTACTCTATTAAAATTTGACGATCTTCAGGAGGAAAAAAACCATGATTCAGATTGTGTATACAGATTGCAACTTTTAAAAATTTCCTCGTAGTAAATATTATAAGGTGATACAGAAATGATAAGATTTGAGTTAGGGTGTTGGGCTTATGACTTTTTTTTTTTTAACTTTCTAAACTATAATGTTATTTCATAGTTTTTAGAATTTAAGAAATTAGACTGACCAAATCAACTTAAAAACAAAGTAAAGATATTAATGGAGAATAATTTATTAGTATCAATGGAGAGTTTTAAAAGGCTTTCTCTCTTGTTTTATCACTTAAAAATCTCGGATTTGCAACTATAGATCAAATCAAAATTGTTAGAAGTATAATTTTTATCCTTTTTATCTTCAGGATAGAAAGTTTGTTAAATCTTTCTGCGTGGAACTTTAGTGTACAGTGTATAAAGAAAAATCGTACAAACCTGCCTCTCCTCTTTTTTCTTTTTCTTCTCATTACTTTTTCTTTCTTGTATTAGCTAGATTCATCTCACTTCCAGAGTTGGGAGTAGAGTTAAGAATGCATAATTTTTTTAGAATTAGAAAGGAAGAAGAAAATAAAGAGGAACATACTAGCTTTTCTTTGAGGGCATATTTTCTATTGCAAGTAGTATGCCTCTCACAAAGAAAACCAGACTTGCAGAACCAAAGATATTTAGCACTAAAGAAGGCTAAATACTTAATAATACTTTTTAAAAATTTCCTTTTAGGAAGAAGAAAGGCGTATGGCGTCTGTTATAGCCAAAAAAGAGGAAGAGAAGAAGCGGGAAAGTCATAAACAGTCTTTGCTTAAGGTATTGTCTCTGATGTCTGCATGCATGTGTGTGTACACACACTCACGAACACTGAAGTGAGTTAGCTAGTCAGCTAGAAAAATGATTTCCAAACTTGGTAAATTTTTCAATCCTATCAGTAGAATGCTTTTTAGAAACAAACACCCCTAAACTTTTATAAGTTACCACCTATAAATAAACTGGTGCTTCTGAAATACTATATAACGTACATTATAAAACACATACAAAAGCTAGGAACTTTAAAAGGAAGAGATAAAAAATAAATATAGCAGAAGTTATCATTTTTTTCCACACCAGTGCATCACCTGTGTATCCTCATGGAACATGCACTTCATTTTGGAAACCACTGTAATAGTCTGTCATCTTTTAATATTTTAATGAGCTCTACTACATGGGCTTTTTTTTATGATAGTTTTTTAAATTTAAAAATTTTATTAGCTTCTCTGATATAGAGATAGTAAAGATTTTGAAGAATTTAGGAACTAAAATTCATTTTAAACTGGTTTTAAATGATTTATCACCAGATATTACTTTCCTTAAATAAAATGTTTTAAAATATTTTATATTACCATCACAAAGTATAATAAATAAAGATAGCTTAGTTCATAGCTCATATTATGCTTCATATTATGTTCTAAAACTAAGGATATAACCCTGATTATCATTACTCATTCTTGTCTTATGTAGGTACTTTTCTTTTTAAAATTAAAATGGCATTCAGAATTCAAAAACGACTAGTAGGGACATAAAGTTGTGTATAATAAACTTAGGAAGCAAGGGAACTTACTGGGGTGATGGAATGTGTGATAGGGGTGTGGGTTACACAGGTATATGCATTTGTCAAAACTGATCGAAGAGTACACTTGAATCTGTGTATTTTACTCTATGAAAACTACTCCTACATTAACAAAAAAGCAAAACCACAACTTGGTCCCAAGCCCTCTCAGCTCAGGGCTATTGCTTCAAAAGTAATTAGAACTGTTACTCAGTATGCTACAATGTTCTCACCTGATGTTATCTCTAACCTCCGGACTTCTACCTAACTTTTACCTGTTTTCCCTCATCCTGTTAATTAGACGTGCCTAAGCCCGCTCTTGGCATCTCTGCCTTCTTAATGATTTAGCCAATAGGATTTTAGTCTTTCGTAAATTGGACTATCCCTAAGGGTTGGCCAGAAACACCTTGGTTTACAGGCAATATACAGTAGTTATAGGCAATATTTTTTAAATATATGGGAGCAAGATTTACATCGCCAGATAATACTATTGGCAAACTTTCTGAATGATTCCTTTAAAAAAAATATTATTTCCTATCATGCAGCTGCTGCTGTCAGATGAATGAATGAATAAATGAATAAAAATACATAAAAAAATAAATGGACTAAAGCTACCTAAAGAACACTTTTGTATGGGCCCTGGAGCATGGAAAGGAAGAATAAACAAAGACACTCCATGGATGATTTAGCTCTAAGGCTACCAGTATAAAGTAGAGCCTAGTATAGGCAACAAATCGTACTTGACTCCACCTTTGGACTGAAAACTCTTGTTATATACCCAGTTCAGCTGCTTGTTAGCATCAGCATTTTTGGAAATGTGCCATTACATTTTTAGCAAACATGTTTTTTAAATGTTTGGGAAATTTGTATGAAAACTTCAAAAAATGGCTAATGATTCTCTTGAAGTCACTAAATAGGACTCTTTAATTATGAGGGTTATTTAGCTTTTAAATTTTTTAACAAGAGGAAAAGCATGGGACATCAGGAGACCTGGGTTCTAGCCTTGGGTCAGATTCCGGGTCATGATACCAAAGACCCTCAGCATTTGCTTGGGATTATTACACGTGACAGCACATATTGATCATTAAGAAAATGGAATGGGTGGTTATAGGGGCTGGCCGGTGGGGTAGTGGTTAAGTTTACGTGCTCTGCTTCTGCAGCCTGGGGTTCGTGGTTTCAGATTCCCAGGCTCGGACCTACACACTGCTCGTCAAGCCATGCTGTGGCGGCTGGCATCCCTTATACAAAATAGAAAAAGATCTGGCACAGATGTTAGCTCAAGGACAATCTTCCTCAAGCAAAAAGAGGAAGATTGGCAACAGATGTTAGCTCAGGGCCAATCTTCCTCACCAAAAAAACAAAAAGAAAGAAATGGGATGGGTGGTTATAGAGGGCCAGAAAGAATGCATGCACATGTATCTTTTGCCTTGTTGCCTTTCTTTCTGTTTTCCTTGGAACCTTGGAAATGATAGTTATAGGATATACTGGTGTGGTATTGCTTGAGCTATGAAGAATAGACTCAAGTGGCAGAAGCTGAAATTTGGCATCTTCTAAAATAATTGGTACTTTAACACAAAGTTGGCAATTTACTGCCGTCTGGCTTTAGAAACATGATTGTAACTGTTATGCCAAATGCATCCATGATCTTTGAGCATAAAATTTTCTTTGGGTACCCCCTCCTTCTGCCTTGCAGAACTTTTAGCCTTCTTTGGCTTTTTTTTTCCTTGCCCCACAGATACCTAGAGCCCTTATGTGGCCCCCTAGCCAGCAGTGATCCCCACCTGACCCCAGGCTACACTCCTTTTCTAAAATATGTCTTCCCTTTTCCTGGCCCCAGTAAAAAAATATCCATTTTTTTAGTTAACCTGGTGTTGATCTGATTTTAATACGCCAAGTAAAGGAAACTTAACTTTGGGGTGGGTATAGGAAACTGTTTTCATTTTCAGAATATCTTGTTATAAATTTGTTGACATACTCAGTGGTGCAAAGATATTCTGTGTCTTTTTTCTAAGCACTGCTATATCTACCTTATTAGGAATATTTCTTTCTGCCAACCCCAGTCATCCAGAAAACCAAATGCACAGAGCCAGCATGGTAGCCATCCTCCATTCACTCACTGCCCCTCCCTCTCTCAAGTGGCGTTAGTACTGAGTGAAAATAACAGCATTGCCTGGATTAAGAATTGGGTTGTCCTGGTAATCTGCAAATAACTGAAATAGAATTCCTTAAGTAAGATGCCTTTTTCTTATAGATTTGGAAATTTTTTTACAGTAGAATAGCAGATTCCATTTGCTTTAGATAGGGACATACAAAAAAAGTTTAAAAATCTCAGAAGTATATACATATTAAGTATAACCCATTGATCTCAGAAGTATATACATATTAAGTATAACTCATTGAACTACATAGACAAATCTGAAATACCAAGCAATCGAAAAAAGAACCCAAGCTAAAAACATTTTTAAACACAAAAATAGAACTTAAAAAAAAATTTAGTTTTAATTAAGCTTTCTCATCACTTTTTATTCCTACCCAGTGCCATTCCTGCATGCTAAAATTTTAGATAACTGAATATAGGCAAAGAGGTGGAACTAAAAATAATTATTCTACATGTATATATGCTCTGAGGGAATGGGCAAAGAATCTCCTGACAGCCTTCCCTGGCTCCAGAGGGAGCAAATGAGAGGGTCAGTATCACACAGCTGTGTTTTCATTGGATGATTGTGCTCTTAGGAAAGAGGAAAGGGAAGTGTCTATTTTCAGCACTCTGATCTAACTGCCATGCCATTTTAAAATGCTAACTTTTGATAATGGAGACTTTACTGGAATAGCGATTATTTTTTTCCATCAACATATATAATTTGAGTAGAAAGATGTTAACCTAGCACAGTTTCTTTCAGTAGTCTAAATCTGCTTTTCTCAAGAGGTTTCTGTGAGAGAATGGAGCCCCAGTGCCCTAAGTCAGTGGTTCTCAAAGTGAGGTCCCTGGACCAGTAGTATTAGCAACACCTTGGAGCTTGTTAGAAATGCACATTCTCAAGCCCCACCTCAAAAACACTAAGTCAGAATGGGGTGAGAGCCAGCAATCAGTGTTTTAATAAGCTCGCCAGGTGATTTGAGGTGCCCTAAAATTTGAGAACCATTACCCTAAGGTATCCGTTACATATAATGAATTAACTTCTTTTCTATTCATCTAGAATGGTACTAGTTACCTAGAAATATTTCAACTTAGTATAATTTCTTTTAGTAGTCTATATATAATTATTAATTTTCAGCCATTGTAGTTTATACTATGAAGCTTGGAACATTAATTAATCCCTTTCCTTCTCCCCCTCCCCCCTTCAAGATTATCCACCATAGTAGTCCTAAGTATTGGGCAGGAAAATTAAAATATTATGTTTGTTCTTGCTATGTTTAAAGACAAACGCATATACATTTCTGTCAAATTAAAATTTCAGATAACAAGTATATAAATTTCTGTCAAATTAAATTTTCTGATAGCGAATTTCCACATCTCCAATGGGACTAATTATTGTTTGTAGATAATTTTTTTTAAGGATTATAGACCATTGTTGAGATGTTTGAATGCACAGGGTAAATAAAGGCCACTTATACTTTGTTTTAGAATATGTATTTGGTAGCTATTTTCAGGAATCCACTCTTTTGAAAGTGTGATAATTAGTCTGTGCTCCTTGGATACTCTCCTGCAACAAAAATTGCAGTATGTAATTCTTGTCACAATGAATTTTTTCACAGGAGAAGAAAAGGTTAACAATTAACAACGTAGCTCGAAAGTGGGACTTACAACAACAGCGAGTAACCAATATTGCTACAAATCAAGATGGAAAAGATTCTGACTCTCCTTCTCAGGACCCCTGTCAGGTGGATGGAAGCACCATCTCTGCATTTCCAGAGGAAACAGGGTATGCAATGGTATTCTTTCCAGATATGACTGTCTTTGGCGAACTGAATTTGGAGCAGAAATGGGAAACCATTTCACAATAAATATAATAAGAAAGCCTACTGAAATTAGATGTTTAAATTTAAAAATTAAGATAGAAATATTAAAAATATAAATTGACCTGTATTTTTAAAACCCGTCAGTGGTTTTCTATTTTGCATATAAAAAAATCTAGATTACTTCATATAGCCTCTGCCGCCCTCTACCCACCTCACCTGTTTTATCCCGTACCATCAGCCACTTGATTCTCATGCTGCATCCCCACTGATTTTCAGTTCAGTTACTTCCTACCTCAGAGCCTTTCTCCTAGAAACAGTTGTGTTCTCCCCTGACACCACTTCCCTGCTCTGCCTTCCCTCACCCTGCCCTGGCTAACTCCCAACTCAACATGGAGGCATTAAATTTTTTTTTTTTTTAAAGATTTTATTTATTTATTTATTTTCCCCCCAAAGCCCCAGTAGATAGTTGTATGTCATAGCTGCACATCCTTCTAGTTGCTGTATGTGGGACATGGCCTCAGCATGGCCGGAGAAGCATTGCGTCGGTGCGCGCCCGGGATCCCACCCCCGGCCGCCAGCAGCGGAGTGCGCGCACTTAACCGCTAAGCCATGGGGCTGGCCCTGGAGGCATTAAATTTAAACCTCACTTCCATACCGTTTGTATCTCTCAGTACTCTTCACTTCTCCTTCTTAGCACTTACCATAACCATAAGTCAATAACTAGTGGATAATTAGTTGTTTCATGTCTGTCTTCCCGACTAGAATGTAAGCTTCAAGAGGAACAGAATCCTGATTGTCTTGACCTCTGTTGTGTCCCCAGCAGCCAGCACAAAACCTTCCTCCCTACTAGTAGTATTGAGCAATTAAGCATAAAATCTGAATAATTACTCCAGTTGTGTTCTATAATATCTGTCTATTACAGTGGCTCACAGCCTCTTTTCTTCTGTGATGCATGTGTCACATAATACGTATCCCCTGGTTTCTGAGCATATCTGAGTACACTATCTAGACTTCACATATTTCTCTCCCTCTCAAGAAAGCTTATTGGAATCAAGTAAATGAGAGGGACATAAAACATCTTTATATATATATAAAGATATATAAAGAATAAAAAATACATGCAAAAGCTAAAAAT